TGTAGGTACAGGGTCTTGTTGGAAGATGTGAAGAATCCACTTCTTCCTCTTTCTTGGCAAAACCTCTCTCTCTGTGCCTAAAAATAGCTATAGCGGTAGAAAGTTGGGAGAGTTATGAGAATCTAAGCCTACCTTGCTGGACTCAATCTCAGAGTTACAAAGGCCCTATTTTTCCTTGTTTTTGTAGGAAAGAACAGCAGTGTTTCAAGAATTCTCACATTCCAAATCAGGGGTTCTTCTGTGCACGGTACGTATCATTCTGCGCTCCGTGGGAAGGCTGACAACTGCTGTGATGGTGGTGGCAGATTTTCGTCTCCTGACGATTTGCCTTGGGGTCACCGGCCCCACAGGGAACAGGAACTCCGGGGGCCGCTTGGTGTGGCTGGTCTCTTTGCACTCCTGGTTTGCCACCTTACTGCCACAGATAGCGGGCTGCCACCGCGCAGAAGACTTGGCGATTTGCTCACTAATGGTGGCAGCTGTTTGTCTGAAAACGTGTGAATCTTGGCGATTTCTCTCCACCAAGAACTTGTAAATTACAGCTATCGGGAGTAATTAGAGCTGAGAAAGTCTTTTCACAACAAAATCACTCTGCTTGCCTCTGCTCACCTTCTCTTAAAGGAAAGTAGATGCGCTTGGACAGAGTCTATGTGCTGGTGTCCAGAGCTGTCCTCTGCCCTGCAGTTTTCAGGGCTGCTCACTCGGCCTCAGTCTTTGCAGTCGTGGGTAGCCACCACCTCCAGCACCGCGGTGACCTTTGTCGTGCACGTCTCTTGTGATCTTTTGAGATTGAAAACTCACACCTTCAACATCCCTGCTTCTCTGGGGACTCACTTCACCAAAGTTGCTGCTGGCTCCCAAGATTAAAATGCCTTCCCTGTTTGTGCCATCTTGGAAGATGTAACTTAATCCCCAACTGGTTATTTGAGAAATCCCTATACATACAGTAATGAAATTGCACCATCAAGTTAGTAATAATCCTGCGAACAGGGGCTAGGTGGAAGCAACGACGTTTAGCTACTTGAATGCCTGTCTGGGCCTCGTTTAATACAATTACTTTTTAAGGAACTTCTGTTCTCTATTTAGTTTTAAGGTAATGGAGATTGTTTTCTTTCTAAATTGAGAGTTTGTGAGCGAGTGCAGCTTTGTTTCTCGTGTGTGTATATATGCATGATCATCTACAAGACGGCCTGCCCGGTGACCTGCGGATTCTCACGTGTGTGTGGCAAACGGTGGTTCCGCCGGCTCTGGTCCTTCAGATCTGAGAGCAGTTGCTCATGGAATGCTTGCCTCAGAAGGAGATCTCAGTCTGACCAAGTAGCCCTTCTCTTTATGAAGCCCATCAAGTCAGATGCTTGTGTTTGCTCTAAAACTGTCTTCACTTGCCTGGTCCAAAGCGAAGATGAGTCCAAGTAATCTACTTGGTAAAGAACTTTGTCAAAAATCCTCTGTCTGTTGATGCTTCTGGAGCCTGACCCCTTCCTGTTTCCTCTGTCTCCACTTTCCCTCTTGCTGCCTGTCCTTCAGCCAAACAGGGCCCTCTTTCAATTGAATGTGTCATTCTTACTTTTTCTGGCCTTGGGGCCCTGGTACATGAGCTCCCTCGGGCTGGGACACACCACACTGACTTAGACTAACCCCTTCGTAGGCCTCAGCTTCAGTGGCAGTTTTTCAGGAAACAGAAGCCCCAGTTCTTCCCCATGAGGCACTCCCAGTGGGCCCTTTATTTCTTTATGATGCTCCTCACAACTGGTCTAGGTGTCTTCCCGCCAGACCGCAAGCTCACGAGGACAGGGACTGTGTTTCCCATCCCAGCGTCCGGCACAGAGCGGCAGGTGCCCAGTGTTTGTGGGTTAAGTAGGTGGACAGCTGGGGCTCAAGAACCTCCATGCTGAGAATCACTGATACATGCCTTTTTCTAAAGACTGAGGCTGAGATTAATATGCTTGCTCATTGGGGAATACTACTCAGCCATAAAAAAGAACGAAATAATGCCATTTGCAGTGACATGGATGGACCTAGAGGTGATCATACTAAGTGAAGTAAGCCACCCAGAGAAAGACAAATATAGGATATCACCTATATGTGGAATCTAAAATGTGATACAATGAACTTGTTTACAAAACAGAAACAGACTCACACACATATAAAACAAACTTACAGTTACCAAAGGGGAAAGGGAATGGGGGAGGGATAAATTAGGAGTTTGGGATCAGCAGATACAAACTACTATATATAAAATAGGTAAATAACAAGGTCCTACTGTATAGCACAGGGAACTATATTCAGTTTCCTGTAATAAACCAAAATGGAAAAGAATATGAAAAAGAATATGGGGCTTCCCTGGTGGCGCAGTGGTTAAGAATCCGCCTGCCAATGCAGGGGACATGGGTTTGAGCCTGCACTGTAGAGCTCGTGAGCCACAACTGCTGAGCCCGTGTGCCACAACTACTGAAGCCCGCATGCCTAGAGCCCATGCTCCACAACAAGAGAAGCCACTGCAACAAGAGAAGCCACCGCAATGAGAAGCCCACGCGCCGCAACGAAGAGTAGCCCCCACTCGCCGCAACTAGAGAAAGCCCGCAAGCAGCAACAAAGACCCAACACAGCCAAAAATAAATAAGTTAAAAAATAAATGTGTGTATGTATAGATACACATGTATATATATACATATATAAACTGAATCACTTTGCTGTACACCAGAAACTAACACAACATTGTAAATCAACTATACTTCCATAAGAAATAAATAAAATAGGAATTCCCTGGTGGTCCAGTAGTAAAGAATCCACCTTACAATGCAGGGGACGCGGGTTCGATCCCTGGTCAGGGAACTAAGATCCCGCACGCCATGGGGAAGCTAAGCCTGCGCACCGCAACTACTGAGGTTGTGCACCTGGACGACAGCCCACGTGCTGCAAACTGCAGAGCCCACATGCCCTGGAGCCTGCGCAGCACAACTATCCTCACACCACAACTAGAGAGAAGCCTGGCCACCACAACGAAGAGCCCGTGCGCTGCAAATAAGACCTGATGCAGCCAAAAATAAATTTAAAAAAATAAGAATAATAGGGCTTCCCTGGTGGTGCAGGGGTTGGGAGTCCACCTGCCGATGCAGGGGATGCAGGTTCGTGCCCCAGTCCGGGAAGATCCCACATGCCGCGGAGCAGCTGGGCCCGTGAGCCATGGCAGCTGAGCCTGTGCATCCGGAGACTGTGCTCTGCAACGGGAGAGGCCACAGCAGTGAGAAGCCCGTGTACTGGAAAAAAATAAAAAATAAAATAATAATAAATCTTTAAAGAAAATGAATAAATAAAATTAAAAAATCTTCTTTGTAAAAAGAAAATCAGTAAAATAAAGAATTTAGTTTTACCTATGGGATTCTCTCAAACATTCCAATAAAGAATTGTTTGTAACATGAAAAAAAAGTGCTCACTGGGAATAAGTTTACTTTTTCATATATATGGTGTTATCTGAAGAGTGAATGTTATAGTTCATCTATATTAAAACACAAGACAGGGCTTCCCTGGTGGCGCAGTGGTTGAGAGTTCGCCTGCCGATGCAGGAGACACAGGTTCGTACTCCGGTCCGGGAGGATCCCACATGCCGCGGAGCGGCTGGGCCCGTGAGCCATGGCTGCTGAGCCTGCGTGTCCGGAGCCTGTGCTCCACAACGGGAGAGGCCACAACAGTGCGAGGCCCGTGAACCGCAAAGAAAACCCAAAAAAACAGAAGGCAGTAGGAACCTGTGTGTTGGAATTTGGGTTAGGACCAGAACAAAATGCTGTATCTTTGACCCTTAAGATGCTAGATTTGTCCCTGGTGGGAAATTATTGAGTCTCCTAGTGTGCAAATGCTGCCATGTTTTTTACAGACATGGGTGAGCTCTAAGTCTCAAAGACAACTCCAGGTATTTGAAGTTCAGTTTTTTGTTTTGTTTTGGGGGGTTTTTTAGTAGCTCTCTGGAAGAAAAGATCATTTTCTGAAATGTGATTCTCGGTGGGGTCAAAAGCACATGATGATTTTCCTTGTCCTGTTGGCTGCTGCCTGCAGGCAGGTGATGTCAGCTAGATGAGGAGCACCATTGGCTTGGCACCTCTGCCCCCTGCCAGTCCCGCGTGCCACGTGGAAAGCAAGCTCTCACTTGCCATGATCTGATTTCTGTAAGCCCCTTGGTGCGTCTTCACTTGCTCGCCCAGACCACGTCCAGCATGCAGAGCCTCATCCAGTCTCATCTTTTCTTTATCCTGCTTTAGGAAATGACTGGAAGAGAGCTGGGTGGGAGCTCCTGCCTCTCCACTTCTAAGCCAGGGCACAAGCCTAGAGTCCCCAGTGGGGAGAAGTTCTTCTTTCCTGCCCAGTCTTCCTTCTACTTCTGCCGTGTTTGTTTGCTATAGGCGGAAACTTGGGGTGTCTGAGATGCTTTGGCTGTGATAGGTGGGGCCTGGGTTGGGGAGATGTTGTCACTGCGTCCTTTTCAGCAGCCTGTTACTTGCCAGGCTCTGAAAGCTCTCGGGGAGCCTCCTGGGTGTTAATGAGCAGCGGGGCCACAGCAGGACAAGGCGGATGGAGGACTCGCTTCTTTGGATAAAGGGGAAGCACTTGTGCATGGTTGTGTGGGGACTTTCCCCCTTCGCACCGTATCTTTTGCCATCTTGATTTATCATCCCGAGGTCATTTTAATGAGGCCAGAAGACTGACTGTCTTGTGTGAGAAGTTGGGAATTGTGGTGTAACCACACAAAAGCTCACAATTCTGCTGTTTCCTTTACTTCTAGAAAATCCCTCCCTCGACCCCATTTTCCTCCCTTATATCTTTTCTGTTGTGAGGAAAGTTAAAGGTGTGTCTCTGTGTGTGTCTGTGTGTCTGTGTTTCCTTTCATCTTAAACATCTTAAAAGCAAGGATCTTAACTTCACGCAATCTTGCGGGACCTGGTACATGGCTGTATAATGTGGGTTCTCAGTACACGTGTGACCGCGATGAGTCCAGAGTCTGGGCAGAGGTGAGAAGATGGTCAGGGAGGAGAGACCAGTCTGGGAAGAAGTCCTTACGTATTTGAAATGTAAGTTTGTGTCCTCTAGAAAATTGGATCTAAGAAGAACCTAAGTTAAGGAGGGAGCAAGTATTAGCAGGAAGGAGTCATTTGGAAGTTCAAAGCCCACTTTCCTCAGTGGAGTTAAGAAATCCAAAGAAGCAGAATATTTCCTCCGGCTTATAGTGAAGCACTCACCCTAAGCCAGAGGAGT